ACAAGAAAAAGAAAGAAGTGCTTAGCCTGATAAGATCAAGAAAAGAAGTTAGAATAACTATTACAAATCAAAGAAAATAATTCAGTTCAGGTTCTGGTGTCTTGACAACAAACGAAAAGAATTTACAAAAAATAGATCCACAAAATTATACAGTACTGAAAGATTATATACTTCATAAATAATACTTACTCAACTATACCAAAGATCAACAAAAATGACTAGAAGCACAGAGTCGATTCTTCATAACTAGAAAAGGATTACTCTATAAGAAAGACTGAAGAAGAAAAAATAACTTACTGAAAGTATTGCAGAAAGGAAAAATTGAACCAATAATAGCTCTAGTCCATGATCACCCAACAGGGACCTATTTCAGAAAAGACATCATATTTAATAAAATTTGTGACTACTATTACTAGTCTCAAATATATAAAGATATATATGAGTATGTTAAGACCTATATAAATTGTCAAAAATACAGTAATAGAAGATTGAAAGAAGTACTACACCCTATACTAGTAGTAGCCCTATTTCATAGAATAGGGATTAATATAGTTAGTCCTTTACCTTTAACACCCAATCTAACAAATATATTGTAGTAGTAACTGATTATATGACCAAATAGTCTGAGGCTCATGCAATTCAAAGAGACAATGCTAAGGAAGTGACAAAGTTTATATATAAAGAGATAGTATACAGACACAGCTGTCCTAATTATAAACTATCTGATAAAGGCTCTCATTTTAAAAATTACCTAGTTGATAAACTTCTCACTACCTTATGAATCAAATATTACTATTCAACTCCCTATCACCTCCAAACAAATAGCTTATAGAATACTTCAACAAAATATTATATAATTCAATATCAAGATTGGTAACAAATGTGATGAATTGGGATCTCATAATATAGCTGATACTATTCATGTATAGAACCACAAAACAAGCTTCTACACAACAAACACTATTTTATTTAGTATATAGGAGGGAAGCAAGATTACTCATACACCCAAATGAGTTAGGCAATTTGTTGAATAAGACCTTTATTCAGCAAATGTATGAGATTGACTCTGATCTACAAAATACTTGCAACCAAGCCTTAATACAAATTCAGTCAAATCAAAGAAAACAGAAAGAAACACATGACTTATATACCAAAGCCATATCTAATTTTTATATAGAAGACAAGATCCTAGTCTATGAAGCTAAGGTAATAGGCATCTATAGCCATAAACTAAAACAAAAGTAGAAGAGCCCATATTATATACATAATATCCTATTAAATAGCATGTAAAACTTCATAAAATAAATGGAAGAATACTTGCAACACTTTTTAATAAAAAATTGCTTAAGCCTTATTATGAAAGAATTATAAATAGAGAGTAAAAATTTAGCTAAAAAAAAAAAAAAAAAAAAAAAAAAATAATAAAAAATAAAAAAATAAAAATAAAATAAAGAAAAAACCAAAAATGACCTCCAATAAAGACTTAATACTTGAAGACCTACAAGCAACCAAACCTATGCTCATCTTTCTAAAATCCTATCTTTATACTGAATTTCATAATGTACTAACTCAAATAGCTCTTACTTTTGAAAAAATCTTGAGAGCAAAGGATACTAGAGACTGAATTAATACAATCATCTATGCCTATTATTTAAATACTCGTCTAAGCTCTCTAACACCTACTAAAAAAACTCTATACTAAGAATGCTTTACTTCCTATTATAAAAAAGTATCCATGAAAATTTATTATCTATTTGAATCTATAGGAGTAGACCAAATTTACTGAACAAAACATATTAGCTTTCTTATGGTCAACAAACTCAAGATTACTAAATACTAAGAATTACTTTAATCTTCTTCTGTGGAACAGATTCTTTTTAGTAGGGAGGAATTATAAAGGTGAGATCGATACCTCAGATCTGACATCACACCAATTTTCAAAATTCATGAAATTCATAGAATTCATAAAATTCTATGAATTAGTAGAATAAACTTAAGATACATAATAACAAAAATTCGTAGAATACCTATTATCAAAAAAAATAATAATAGGATATAGTAAGTAAATAGGACTATTAGTAACATTAGTAAAGATTATTATTATATATATTATTGAGTTATATTGTAACGAAAAGTATATATAGAACAAATATTTTTCTCAATAAAAAAACAACTCTTGGAGTTCAAAAAAGTAAAACCTTCTGAGTCTTGAAAAGTCTTGTATAGAAGTATTTGTCTTTAACTAAATTACTGTTTGAAAATTGTTACCTGAAATCTTTTAAATTGTTTATCGTTGAATTCTTGTCCTCGTGATATCTTTTGTAATTAGTACCAGTTTGTTAGTAAAGTAAAAAGACTCAAATTGTCATATCGTATTGCTTTTATATAGTATCTTTAAATTGATTAATTAATTGATTAATTTCATAATTGTTAAATCAAATTACTAATAAATTCATATCCTGTGACCCAAACTATAACCCAATTTGTAACTCAATTTGTAAACTAATTTGTACTTAAATCAAAACCTAATTTGTAACCTAATCGTAACTAAACTATAACTTCTAGTAAATATGACTAAGACAATCTATAAATCCAACTTCATAACAAAATATCTACTCAAGTAACCCTAAACTTGTACTAAGTAATCCCTGTCTCTTTCAAGCCTTTTCCAACCTAGAGTTATCTCTTAGTTGGATTTTTAGATTATCTTGATTTATTTGTATAGATTAGTTGGATTTGAACCTCTATATAACTAAGCTTCTAAATGAGTTCTAGTCTAGAACCATATCTCACTTTTTCATTAAACAATAGGCAAAAAAAAAAAATTCTAGGTAGGCTCTAGGAGTAAGATAAAGCAGACATAAGCAAAAAATTTCCAATTATTCGATCGATCACAATTATATCAGTATACTATAATATTCTTTAAATATATTTTTTTTTGCTAACATGCGATGTTATATAATATAAATCAAAACTTCATGAATTTTAAATAGATGTATAGCCCTAATGACTTAAATGCTTAAAATAAAATTTTATAGGACTACATAATATCATAGTTAGTGATGTAAGTGTGGTAGCTACTGGTAGATACTACCACTGGTAGATACCAGTAGACTACCGTTAGATATCGTTAGTCTTATAAAAGATAGTACTCCAAATTTGAATACTATTATGGGTATTCATTTTCCGGATGCTATTGCAGAAATCACAAGACTAGAATTTAATAATATGTTATATATATTAAGAACATTATTTTTGCGAGTTACATTTCACTAGTTATTTGTTTAGAATATCAGGGTTATGCAAATCTGCCTTTTTAGAATAAAAGAACTTGAATGATTAACTTCTTTAAGAATTACTTTTATTATTAGTTATAAATCGTGTGATTAATCTCTATTAGTAGAGCTACCGGTAGCTACCACTACCACCTACTGGTAACTACCGGTAGAAAATTTAGCAGAAGTGGTAGATTCACATCACTAGGTAGGACCGTCCATGTTACACAAATGATCCAATTGATAAAAAAAATTTTTTTTTACGTACAAAAGATTTCTACGTAGAACAATAGTAATTTGTCTAGGCTTTGCCAGCAATTATAGTCAATGCAGAGTTGAAGGTAAAACGAATGAATATAAAATGTTCATTAATTATCAAAATGAACCATGAGACTGAAACATATTATCTAGGACATTGTTACGGGAATGGAATTGAAGCTGAAATCGAACTTGCTGAAAGAACACAATATTAGATGTTATTACTGCTGTGGGACTGGAGTCGATAAAAACGAATGTAAGATGCTTGTCAAAACCTCAGTTAAGTGAGAAATCTTACCAGATCCATTTTGGTGTTGGTGATAGAATTCCTGCCGATATAAGATTCGTAATGGTTGGTATTTTATCTTTTTTCAAAAATAAAAAAATAAGGAATTTATTAAAATTATAAATTCTGGTTAAATTGAATCTTTTAAGCTACGTAGCAGTAAATCTGGAAATTGACGAATCTAATCTGACTGGTGAGACAAATCCTAGAAAGAAGGGTATTGATACAATTACTTCAATTTCTTCTGAAAATAATTATGTTGAATCAATTCGAGAGAGAAAAAATATCACATTCACGAGGACTCTTGTTAGAAATGATGTCTTTTTTTTTATTTGAATATGTTTTATATAATTTACAAATTATTTCAATAGTTTTAGGTTATAGAACTGGTATTGTTGTTAGAACTGAAAATAGTACTGAATATGGTGTCGTATTCTCTTTAGTAAATGAGGTTGGAAATATTACTATTACTTTATGATAAAATTATGAAAAATTATATCATTTTTATTATTATTATTATTCTTGTTATAGGCGAAAAACCAAAAACTCTATTTCAAATTAGCATGAAAGATCTTCGAAAAAATTATCTTATTTATTCAGTGCTATTATTGCTACGTATTATAGTTACTATTGGACTTATACAAGGATGACAATGGCTAAAGATATTTACAATTAGAGGTTAATAAATTTTTTTTATTATAATATTTCAACTCTCAATAGTTGCTCAGTTTGTTTTTTTCTTTCTAATATAGTTAGTTTGGCTGTGGTGGCTATTCCTGATGGACTCTCTATTGTTGTAGCTGTTACTTTATGTTTAGGCATTTTGCGAATGACTAAAAAAAATGTGATTATTAAGAAGTTACCTTCTGTTGAACTTTGGGATGTTAACGTAATTTGTGTATATAAAACTGGCAAGTGTATTATTATGATTAATTACATACATTTCATATATTTGAAAATGTTATAACTGTCACAAAAATATTTACGTTAGATGAGGAAACGATTTTTGATTTGTAATCAAAACACACGATTTTACGTGATTTTGTTTTTTTTAAAAAGCATGATTTTTAGATCCAGAAATCTAAACTTTTCATTGGTCAATCAGTAGGATTAAAAATATTGTATTTAAATTTTTTTTTTTTTTTTTTTTTTGTATAATCTAAAAGACTCACTACCCAACAAACC